GACAGCAGGTCTCTAGGGTTTTAGGGCAGGAGTGGTCCAGCCCCTGCCTTCTAAGCATGGACGTTATTGTGGGCCTTCCTCAGTTCCAGGCCACGTCTAGATAGCCTGTTCTCCTCAAAGCAAGTACAGTAAAGCACCAGCTGCTACATACATAAGGGCTGAAAACCTATAATGCAATCTCACTTGTGCAATAAATGACAACTAATTAAAAGCAAATAGCTGCTGATTAAAGATTTTGGGATGTACATGGCTCTTACACAATGCATTGAATTTCCATACACACTAAAATTGCCAAAGGATACATTTAATCAGTGATGATTTGTTGCAGGTGATGATGTAATCAGGATTATGCATGTGGAGCTGCACAACAGAATTTTAGTAACTGTTTTGTGTTATTGGGGTGTATCTGTTCAATGCAGGTGTTGCATTGTCCACATGGGTCTGTGGCCCTACATATAAACCTTGTTGTAAAACATCTGATTGTTCTTTAGTAGATTTACATTCATTTCTCTGTAAGTTTGCAGTGATTCTTAATATCTCTAAATGGATGTGACTTGGAGCAATAAAGCTCAAGGTTTGTTAGCAATGTACGGGTCACATATGAGCTCTGTTACTGTCTACTTGTGTCCCCTATAAGGAGAAAGGTGGCATATAAATAATATAAACAAGTAAATAAACATTGCAATATCATGCTGGCTCCAGGGTGGATAAAAATCAATTTTATTTTTAAATGAAAAAAATGATTTTAAAAAATCATATCATCAATTTTGTTTAAATTTTTTGGGTTTAAATCATGGTTTAAATCAAATCCACCCTGGTTGGCTCTTAACATTAAAGAAGTAATGAAACAAACTGTAAATTTGTCCTTACATCAACTTTATGAGAAAATAATCTCTGGAAGTGTATCAGTAACAAGTACTGCTGGAACTATTCAATATCTTTTGGGTTTATTTTTTCACTGCTGTCCCACTGGTGATTTTATGCACATGGTGTGCCTTACACATACTTGCTGAGTCATTGTGTTCAACGCATCATATACTGGGTGATCAGGGCTGCCTCGCTCAAGGTGTCAGAAATATAGAGTTATGGCTTTCTAGATCTTGCAGTCCTGCAATAAGTTCTACTTTAGGCTTGATAGATACTTCCATCTTTGCATTACCCAAACAAAAATGAGTGCCAGACATTTTGAAAACGAGCAATAAATCCACACAGATGCTGGGACTAGACTATAATGTGTTGCATTATGCACGTTTTGAAATAATGATACCTGGGTCTTTTGTTGTTCTGGCTGAACTCTGAAGTGTTTCTGCTTTTATTTATAATTGATCACAACTGGATCCCACTCTTTCTCCAAAGCACTTAGGGTGAGAGTCAGCTCTTATCCTCACAGCATTTTATCCTTCCGTAAAGCGCAGGGGGGATGTGTTATTCTCAGATGATGGACTCTTTGCCAGCACTGCCAGCATTAAGGGATCATGGGAGTTGTCCTTCAACAACATGGGGGGAGGGTGGCACATATTTTCTCATCTCTATTATAAGGCAAAGGATGAAAGAGAGGATGAGAGAAACTTGCCATTTGGTAGCTAAGAAGGAATTTCTTGTATTCTTGCATCAAAACCAACAGCCTGATATTTGTATCTTGCCCAGTCACACACTCATTCTGTGGTGCCTTCAGTGGGGGCTGAATTCATGGCTACAACACGTGACCAATTTTAGATTTTCCTGTTTCTCCCCCACCTCCTAAATTATGCACCAACTGTTCCAGTTCGGGTACCTTCAGACATCCCTGGGGCCATTGTTGTCCCCCTTGGATGTAGATGCACCACCACCACCACCCCGAAATCCATGGGAGAAAACTGGCCTCAAATATGGCAAATTGCAACCCAGACACCCAGGGTAGATTTGCCAAGAATAGCTCTGAGAGAGAATTATGTTTAAATGACAAATAGTACTCTCCGAAGTTCCTCTGTGAAATATGTTTATTTGTTTAATTTTTATACCACTCATTCAGTGAGGAGCCACTGCCCTGAGTGGTTTACCACAACATTTACCATTTTGTGACTTTTTTTAAAAAAAAAGGGGGGGGTCAGGTTGGAGAGGCCACAGGTAGCCCTTGAGCCAAACTTTGCCTACCCTGACCCACCCAAGGATGCATTCTGGAGGTAGCAAAAGGGTGCATTACCTCTGTTCCCTTTCAGCTGGTTGCAAAGAAGAGGTACTTCAAATGGAATTTTGTTTTCTGCTTTTGTTTTTCCTCTTGGATCAGTACAACCATCTTTGTTTTTGAATACAGTATATTCCGTATCGGGCATCCTCTGCTAGTGGCAAGGCTTTGAATAATTCCGTTTGATATGTGATCTGACATTTCTGAGTAGCTATTAATTTTGTACAGGCTGTGATGTTACTGAGATTTTAAAGTTAAGATGTTTGTTTTGGAAAGCTGAGAAATACAGTTACCCTTGCCTCCCTTCAAATCATATTTGCCTAATTCTGTGTCTTTGGCTATTTTTGCAAAAATACAAAAACTGGACCTTTAATCTCCTACTGGGCCTGTTATCTCCTACTAACCATAACAATGTTATGGAATCATGCTGATGTCACAGCTGACTTATTTAATCCGGCTGAAAGAGATAAATGTGTTTGCTTAAATCTTACTGAAAAATGGGAAGTAGGGAAAAGTCCCTAAGGACAATATTATTAAATGGAAATGTTAGTTTTTAGAATCTGGTCACTGCCTGGCTATGCAGTTACATAAGCTTATCAGGAAAACTAGTGTAAATATTTTAACCATTACAGTATGTAGTTTCTTAGAGATAAGAACTGCTCTTTCCATAAGGACATTCCTAAATACATGTGGCTTAGATGTGTGTGGTCTTGTATATAGCCTTTTAAAATACATTTAAGAGGTAGCATCATTTATTTTATTTGTTTTATTTATGAGCCAGCTTCCTCATAAGGGGACCCAGGGCGGCTCACAATATTAAAAAGAATAAAATTTAAAACATAATAAGTTAAACAATGAAAAACAATTAAACCATACACTAATTAAAATACAATGAAATAATTAAAAGCAAATGAACATTACAAAACTATCTTAACTTTTAAAAGGCATCCAGGGACTCAATCATGATTGTTAAAAGCCTGCTTGAAAAGATGGGTTTTCAGCTGTGGGCAGAAGGATAAAAGGGAGGGTGAGCATTCCACAGTCATGTCATATTCTCCTTCTTTTGCCTTCACTAACAAGAAATGAAGCTAACATGGATCTCAGAAAACTCCTGAAATTATCCAGTCCCTCCAGCCATATGCACACTAAAGCCTGAAAGTCAGTTTTTAACCATGATGGAGACACATACCGTACATGTTCCACCCAGTGGTCAAAATCCAGTAGTAAGCTGCAACTAGAGTCGGTCCATTGAATCAGTGGAACTTATGGAGGAGTTGACTCATCAGATCCCCAATGATTCAACGAACCTTCTCTAGTTGTGACTTATTACTAGATTTCAGCCAGTGTCAACCAGACCTTTGTACATTGGGCATGAATATCTGAAGAGTGCTTGTAAGTGCTGTGAGTTGAAAGCCCTTACAGCGTGCCCTGTGATTGGGGGTGCTGATAAGGCAGAACTTAGTACTCAGAAGCACTGTGTGTGCGGCAGAATGTGTGCACAAGTATCTCATCAGAGGCTCATGTTCAACACATAACAATATAGTTGACATTTGGATGAGGCAGGACTTGGTGTACACCTCTATATCCCCATCACAATTAGAACCCTACCCACTTTCAGCCTGTAGTGCTGGAATAGAGTGTCTGTGTTAAAAGCGTGGAAATCTGTTGTTAACCAGCTGCCTTCCCATACAATCCAAGGTTTTTCTTTGCCTATGCATTAAGGAACTTTTGTAGAATGGGGAAGTGTATAAGACAGCCTTTTCTGTATCTGTGTTCAGCCTGTGGAATTTCCTTTCTCAGGCAGGCCACTCTATTGTATTTAGCCTCCTAGTTAAGACTTCAGCACCAAATATCAGACATTTTAAAATTTTTAATAGATTTATACTAGTCTAATAATTAATTGAGCTGGCTGGCTGGATAGTTCAGTGATTTGGATCACTTGGTTGTGGAGTGCAATTCTCTACTGGTGCCTCTCAAGTTGATAAGCCACCTTGTATAGCTACAGGCAAGCTGTATAGTTCTAGAGTAGCACCAGAAGAAGGGAATGACAAACCACGTTGTATATTTTAAAAAAAACCTGCCAAAGTTTCATAAGTCTGAGCTAGTCTGGTGGCACATAAGAAATGTTACTATTGCTGCTGACATTATCCTGGAATTTATCCTTGTAATGCTTTGCTAATAGTATCAGTTTCAGTACAAATTAATACTCTTTTTCATGTAGTGCATTGTATGAGGTCATTGTCATTGTCTTGATCTCTATATTTCATCAGATTTTTTTTCAGGGGCAGATAATTTCTGACAAAATTTCCTGTGGGTAGGTTGTCATTAGCACTGGCAGTAGCACAGGTCCCACCCCACGCTTTTTTGAGAGTTTTTGTTTGTTAGTTTTGCTGCTGTTTCAAGCGGCAACAACAGCATCTGCCATGGTAGCATCATTTTGCCTCATGCACAATCCTGAGGACTTAGCAGTTTTTTGAATAAATGTTTTCTTGCTAATTTTGACTCCACTCTCTTTTGGAGACATTTCCTAGGCACTTCTCTGGATTTTGAGTGAAGAAGCATAAATACAATGTGTTTGTAGCAGTTTACTTAATGAGTTATGTTTGTTCTGCAGTATCTGCCATCCTGTTCCTGTTCAATGTTTCTACTGTTTGAAAGTCTGGCTGTTATCCTAGACTCTGATACTGAAAGCAAGTCATAAAAATAAACACCAGAAACAAATCTGTCCAGATGAAAAGAAAGGAGGGAGGGAACAAAAAGGAGCTGTTTCAAGGAGAGTTTAAGAAAAATGACCTAAATTAAAACTGAAGATGCTTTTTTGTTGTTGTTGTTACAGAAATGCTCTGTGTTTGAAGTCAGATGAGACAAAATAAAGACATGCATGGAAAACCCTAACTTTGAAGACAACTGGCCTCCCAGTATCCAGATATTCTTTTAAAGTAAGGGAAACAGAATCTGGGGTCTTGCTCGCTCATATGCACTCCAGCACCCCTATCAGTTCTTTGTTCTCCTTCACCAGCCCAGCTGTGAAGAGACTGCTGGGCTGGAAACAAGGAGATGAGGAGGAGAAGTGGGCAGAAAAGGCTGTTGACTCCTTGGTAAAGAAGCTGAAGAAAAAGAAGGGTGCCATGGAAGAACTCGAGAGAGCGCTCAGCTGTCCTGGGCAGCCTAGCAAGTGTGTCACCATCCCGCGCTCTTTGGATGGAAGATTACAAGTGTCTCACCGCAAAGGCCTGCCGCATGTCATTTACTGCAGAGTATGGCGTTGGCCCGACCTGCAGTCCCACCATGAATTAAAACCACTGGAATGTTGTGAGTTTCCATTTGGCTCAAAGCAGAAAGAAGTGTGTATTAATCCTTATCATTATCGGCGTGTAGAAACCCCAGGTAAGTCAGTCACCTTAAAAATAATTTTGTTGAAGGATCGTTGCTGCATTCGGTTTTGTATTCTGTAATCCTTTCCTCTGTAAAGCTATGAGGAGAGAGGAGACTCTGTCTTCCTTAGTGAGGCTATGAAACCTCACATTCTGATTTCCACAGGAGATTATAGTTTATGATTGTTATTGCCCTTTCTCTCTGTCCTGCTACCTTCACGGATGCATTTGGTGGATACACAGGAGAGGGCCTTCTCTGTTGCTGCACCCAGACTTTGGAACTCCCTCCCACAGGAGGTTAGGCTATCTTTATCTTTACCGTCCTTTCCAAGACCTTATTCTTCAAACAAGCTTCCCCCTTAATGATTTGCTGCCTGACTGGGGTTTTTGAAATAGATGGTTATGCCTTACTGCTTTAAATATGTTTTGGTGTTTCTTATGCTTTTTAGTATGGTATTTGTTTAATCGTTTTTAGTATTTGTATACTAGTATAGTATTGTTGTTAATGTTAGCATTTTCTTTTAATAATGTAAACTGCCTTGAGTGCTTTTAAAGAGAAAGGTGGAGTAAAATATTTTTAAATAAATGAATAAATAAATATCCTATGTCAGCCCTAGAGCACTAAATAAGTGAGAAACCTTTGTGATGATCTTCCTCTCCTGGGACGCTAATAGATACAGTGTTTTTTCCCCTAAAGGTTATGTGTGGGCTTTGATGCCTGCTGTTAGAGCTGTTACCTGTGCTGATGTTCCCCTGTTTTTTGCCAGAGGCCACCTCTTCTAGGCAGAGTTGCCTTAGTCTACAGAGGAGCTGAGAACAGTAAAGTGGGGGGAGGTGAGGGCTAAAGGAAGGGTGGGAGAACTGTAAACATTCAAAGGGATAGAATTTACTTACTGTAGTTTGTATTACTGGAACTGGCATTATTTGCTTTTTAGTGTGTGTTTTTATATTGACTTCTACCTTTGGGTAATGTGAGCTACCAAGGTCATTGATGGAAAGGCAGAATATAGTACTGTATCAGTAATAGAGGATGGATACATATCTATTGACTTCTACCTTTGGGTAATGTGAGCCACCAAGGTCATTGATTGGAAAGGCAGAATATAGTATCAGTAATAGAGGATGGATACATATTTAACTTACAGGTAACATGAACATGATCTTAGAGATCTATGAACCATCTTATCTGTTGCTCTAAGGAACTTTAGAGCTTGGGAAATTACCTTTTAAAGGTGATTGTAGTTATTATTTCAGGTCACCTTCACCCGCAGTAAATTAGTTACTATTATAGTGCCTGTTTTAAAAATGTAACTCTCTGCTTCCAGGTTTCTGAAAAGTAAGTAAAAATAGTTACTTTTAAAAGCACCACTGCATTTCATAAACTGCTGGCTTATGGGATAGAATGCTGTCTCCTTGAGTGCACCTCATCCCATCTTTAACATCTCCAAGGCAGGCAGCATGAATGCCCACCATGGGGCAGCCTTTGCACTATGTGGCAGTCCTGCTTCACCAAATGTGAAAGTAAACTAAAATCTGTAGTTACACTAAAAATATAATACTATATTTCATTCTACTACAGCCAAAACGTAGCTTAATTGTGTCTATATTATTGCAGAAAAGAATTTAAAGCAACTTGGCCTTTGTATAGCTTTCTCCAAGCTCTGTTTAAAGATTTTACACTGTGGGAGGCTGCTTTATCTTCCTCAGTATAAAGTAATAAACAATCCAGGTGAAATCTGTGTTATTAAGGTATCCGTGGCCTTCAGATGCACCACTTGTTTTGCCATTCAGGTTAGCACAGCATGCAGGCCAGCTTACTGCAGGGTTGCCAAACAACCCAAGTGGGTTTGTATGCATAATGATAAGTTTGGAATTGAGCTTTGCATTCTGCTTTTAGTAAAACGAACACATGACTGCTTTGACACAAGTGTGTGTCAGCTCAAATTAACTCCTTCAACATTCTTATCTTTCTGGCTTGGTTATCTGTCCTATAGTCACAACGTTCAGCTGCCATCTTGAGTCATGGCTTAAAAGCTCACATGTGCACTGCATGGAGAAGGGGAACCTTAATTTTGTTTGGGTTTGTTCTGTTTTGAAAGCCGTGGCAATTTTGGTTGTCTGGATTGTGGCTGAATATGTAAACAGCTGGTTTCTATTTGTCTATGACTGTACTTCTCTCTCTTATAACTTTCCTCATACTCAGACTTGTCCAGGGTGCTGAAACGTTGGTGTGTGTGTGTTTTTTTAAAAAACTTTTTCCCTGAGAACCGAGCTACTGTAGATATTATGCAAGAAAAAGATGATGAAGTGTCCTCCCTTATTCAGAAAAGGATCCATGGGGAGACTCAGACTGGGTAGAGCAAACATTCTGAGGGACGGAGCATTCAGTCATTTTTTACTCTGACACTATTTGCCAAGCTTACATCACCCATTTCCCTAGTACCTATTTGCATTCGTGGTACAAACTTGGTGCCCAGGAAAATTAATAATAAATTGTTGTAAGATAGTTAACTACAAAGCAAGAGAGGGAGAGAGGCCCTTATGAAGCTTCTATCTTTGTTGCCATGCAATATTTCTGTGTCCCCACTCCCTAAAGGAATAGAGAGTCCTGTTGATGAGAGACCAAAAATAAAAAATAATAAAAACGTACAGAGTATTTTTTGAGTGTGCTCCCTCATCCCAATGGCTAGAGTATTCATGTTTTCCCAAGTTGACTGCCTTAGTCCTTGAAAAATATATGGAATACTTGATCGGGGACAAGGCTGTTCCAGAATAGTTTAGCTGAACTGTTCTAGACTTAGGCTATTGCCTATCAGCTGAATAGCTGATGCTGTACATTTGCTTTCCATGTTGTTATGAGATCATACCCTTCAGTGAGATTACACCCTGACAGTGTGGGAAGAAAGTGTGGGGGTAGAGGAGTGTGGAGTATTGCGACCAGAAGATATCTCCAGATCTTGAAATCATGTAAATTTGTCTTAACAAATTCTGTGCATTTAAAAATGTATGTTGGAATGCAGTTGACCCCATTGTAGGGGTTCTTGAAATGCTATACCAGATTGCAAATCCAATTTCCTGATTAATCTCTTCCAAAATTATTTATCTGTCAGTCTGATAAAATCTAATTTATGTTCCTTTCCATAAATATTTTGTAATTTGATATTTACATAGACATCTCTGCAACTAATCACTGAGGATTAAGATAATGAGCAACTTGCAACTGAGTAACATTGCACATTCTATTTGTCAAATAGGTTGATGGGGAGGGAAAGGAAGCTTTTGTTTCATTCCTGTACAGTAGTGGGAGGAAATAGACTGAATGCATGCAATATTTTGTTAGCTGTTTAGGGAATTGTTTTTGAATGGTGGTACTTGTTCAGATAAACACCTCTTTTTACACTTCTGCAAGCAGAATTTTGCTTCCCTTGATTCTGAAAGTGCTGCCCATAGCACCGAGGACCTAGCACTTCCTTGGTGGTGTAAGAAACAGTGGGTGACGGGGATCTGAGAAAGCCAATGTTGCCTCTTCCATCCCCCACCTGTATTTTGGCAGACAAGGGAGAAAGATTGATATTCAGCAGAGTCAGGCACTTTATGAGAATTGCCAAGCCATTTGTGAGCACTCACACTGATCACAAAACCTTTGTATCTTCTGAGGCACTACCGGGATATTGGCCTTTTCATAGAATTGTACATATAAATGTTTGCTGAATGTACAGTTCCTTTATCCAGCCCGATAGCTGGACAACTGTGTGCATTAATGGATTCAGATGAGGGGGAAGGGAATCCCACAAAGGGCAGTGGTTTCCCTCCTTCCCCTCCTTATTGAACAGCTGGCTGTCCATTCCTTCTTGGTCTGGCTTTCTTTTGTTCACATCTGTGTAATTATGCAGATGGTTTACAGGGATGGATAGGACAGTAGTGCTAAGAAATCTTTCTTTTCCAAGGTTCTTGAAAAATAAACTTAGCATGGCCCCATGCTCTGTATGATATAGTAGGTCACTCTGCTCTCTTTCTTCAACATGGCCCAAAGCAGGGCTGGGAAATATTTGACCCTGCAGATATTGTCAGAATGTAGGGTTGATTTTTTCATAGCCCTTCTTGTAGATCACTGATATTTCCTGTTGGTCTCTAATCCAGATACTAACCAAGCCTGATCCTGCTTGGCTTCTAAAATTAGGCAGTACAGTATTGGATGTGTTCATGGTGATATGGTAGTGTATGGGGAGCAGTGCTCAAATGTTATTTGCCTCCAAGATATATGGGTTAAAGTGGGCTGGAATGTTTCCCCATCCCTGATCATAAGCTACCTGTGTTCTTAGGAAGAGCATCTCCATGCCTTTTTACTTTTTAAATAATATTCATTCATTCATTCATTCATTCTATTTATACCCCGCCTATCTGGTCAAAACAACCAGTCTAGGCAGCTAATATGGAAGACTACTGCTCCTCTCCAGTGAAACCTGATGAATAATTTTGACGTCCCTTAAAAAAAGAAAGGAAGAAAGAGATGGAGGGAGCTATTGAATTTATCAACTGTGGACGCAGTGGTGAATTCATTAGGGAAGGCACTTAATCTCAGCAACATTATCCTTCATTTATTTTAGTAATGTTGCCAATATTCCTGCCATCACCTTGTTTTCATAATTTAATATTGATACTTGCTAATATAGTATAACATTCTGTCTAGATTTTCCTACTTCACTCATAATAGCAGCATCCCAGGGAAGGATATTATTTAGACTAAGAAAATAGTTTATAGGGAAAAGTTGAGTACTTCAAATTCCACATTGCTTCCCTCATTAAATTGGCATTTCTCTTCTTTGGCTGCATTTGGATTAAATAAAGGAGCACAAATTTAGGAGCTCTATCAAGGGAGTTCCTGCATAATGAAATCTTGTAGCACACTTATGCAAAAGCTCTAATTTTTTAGAGGTGGATTTTCATAAGCTAAGAAGTCTATATAGGTGTTATCTTCCTTGCTAATTGTATTTAATGTCTAGGTAATTGCAGTTAAGAAGAAAATGACAAGAAAAACCACACAGAAGCCTATATTCTATCAGTGAGAGACATACTCCCCAAATAGTGCATTTTTCTTTAAAAAACATTCCTTTACTTCTTAAAATCTTTTTTAAAAAATCTGTCATATTACATCTGTTTAAAAATTATTCTGTACCATTGATGCATAGCATGGTGTGTTGCTGTTAACAAACACAGTAAACTGATACCACACACTGGTACATGTCTGTCTGATTCTCCTCTGAGTAGTTTCATAGTACAGTATCTGTAAGTTTCTCAGGTAAGGCTATAGACCACACTGGATTCAACTGGTCTAATATGCTCAATTCTTTACCATCTTTTCCATCTTTGTGTAAATTCCCTTTGTGCTATTAGCAATAACATAAGTGATTAACTCTCTAAATAAAAAGATTGCATTATTCCCAGATAAAATAGATAATAACACCACCTTTGAACCTTATTGTTTGATTTGTAATCTGCCTTATGATACCAAGTATTTAATCTCAATATTTCCTTATTAACGGACATGATATGACATAACAGTGGTGCCTCACTTAGCGATCGCTCCGTTTTACGGAAATCGGCTTACAACATAAAACATAAGTTCAAGAAAAATTTATAACAATTAATTAATCAAATGATTTTGCAATGGGAAAGATACAAAATAAATCAAATAAAGAGGAAAAAAAGGAAAGAGGACAGGAATTAAGTGGAAGAGAAGGCCTGCCTGTACATCCACATTTTTAGTTGGTTCTTAAAAGTACCCAGCGAGGGTGCACCGCGAATCTCCGGAGGTAGGTTATTCCAGAGGCGAGGAGCCACCGCCGAGAAAGCCCGGTTTCTAGTTCTTTCCTTCCGGGCCTCCCTTGGTGTCAGGCTCCTCAGCCTCACTTCCTGGCTCGCGCGGGTGACATAGGTAGAGCTAGTTGGGAGTAAGCGTTCCGCCAAGTATTATTATTAGGATTATTATTAGGATTAGGATTATGATTTATGCCCCACACCATCTGGCAACAAGGTCACTCTGGGCAGCTAACAACAAGATAAACAACATAATATCAAAATACGCTAAAAATAATATAATACATACATTCAAATGAATAGGATAACCAGTAGGGTAAATTAAAAAGATGGCTATGAAGATAGTTAAAAGGATGATGAAAGGGTGGTAAAAAGGATGGTAAAAGGGAGGCTGAGATCTCAAAAATTTAATGCTTAGGGAAAGCCTGATGGAAGATCCAATTCTTCAGTGCTCGTTTGAACCCATCCAACGAGTGTGCCAGACAGATCTCCATGGGCAGGTTGTTCCACAGGCAGGGGGCGACCACCGAGAACGCCCAGTTTCTTGTTCTTTCCCTCCGGGCCTCCTTGGGGGTCAAGGCCCTCAACTGCCCTGCCTGTGAAGAACGGGTATCATGAACAGATCTGGCTGGGAGCAGACATATTTTTATTAATTAACTTATGTAAATTTGTTTCTAAAAGGTATGCCTTTTGTGGAACAAGATTTCAGCAAATGTATACTTTGCTCCAAAAGGCCAACAAGCATTTTTGATGACATCTGTTAACATAGTTAACAAAACGGCAGAAAAAGTGTTACAATATTCTGTAATAACTCCACCTGACTTTTGATATACGTATGTTGCCCTTTAAAGATCTAATAATGTCTCTGAACTCTGGGAAAATTCAGGGCACCAGATTTTTTTTAGGTGTACCATAGATAGTTATTCTTTTGAAGATGCAGAAGGACTATAGTTTCCATGGGGAATCAGTTCCAAGCCCCCCTGCAAAGGTCGGAAAGTTTCCTGAATGCTGCTGTGGTATGCTCTCCTTTGATGATCGGATTAGAACATTTTGTTGAGTACTGCCTACTACAAAAGCCAATAATTTTCCTGTTTTACCTCCTACCTGGAAGTAGTTTTGCCCATGACATGTTTTTGTGTATTTTATGTATTGTGATGTGAAGCCTGGCAAATTACTGGCAATGTAATTAGGATGGTTGCATTAATGAATTTGTAGAATATGGTAACAATAATAAGTACACTTTGGTAATACTTTTTAAAAATTGAAATTTGAAATGATTTTATCTTTGGTCTTAGAGATTTTTGCATCTGAAGTCTATGAATACAGACTTCTAAAAAAATGTGAGTCAAACTCATGGGATTCCCTGTGCCAATAAAAACTGAATTAAACAAGTTGCATCTAACAGCTTACTCTGGCTGAAATCTTGTTGTTTACTGCAATATGTTACACTAGAGTAGATGTGTTGAGCCAGTGGGAATTCATTGAGCAAACTCCTCTATAAGTTCTGATAGAATTAGGTCTATTCTAGCTGTGACTTTCAGTGTTGAGATAATAATAATCTTGCATCCTGTGTATCAGTGTGAGGGAAGCCTTTAGGCCCTAAAGGGATTCTCTGCTTTCCCCTAACATATTTCCCCACTTCTGACTTGATCCTCCTCTCTTCATGTTTGTTTGGTTCACTTCCTTTTTCTTTGTTAGTGTATTCCTCTGATGTTTCACCATGTAGCAGACATGGAAGATGTCTCTCCAACATGGCAGAGACTCCAATTCCTCATTTTGTTTTCTTTTTACTCTTCTGATTGTAACTGCTGATTGCAACTGTAAGTAAAGATACTTCCCCCCCCCCTAATTTAAGTACTTCCAGAATGATTTTTAACACATAAAGTGCTAGTCGCTATGAGAGGGGATGGTGGTGAAACTGAACTGATCTCCACATTTTTACTGTTCTAACTCAAAGGGAATAACCAATATTTCCCAGCAGTAAGTAGTACTTAGAGTAGGCACATTTGAACCAGTGAAACTTATGGAGGAGTTGACTCTTAAAATCTCCATTGGTTCAGTGCATCTACTCAACTGCTTTGCTAAGAATTTCACCCATTGTTTCTTTCTAGTCATAGAGAGAGATGAAGATTCCTGAGGAGCCTTTAAATCATCTGTACTGCTGAATATTGTGTTTAGTCAATCATATTTATTTATTCATTCATTTGTTCATTCATTCCAACTATGGAGGAGTTGACTCTTAAAATCTCCATTGGTTCAGTGCATCTACTCAACTGCTTTGCTAAGAATTTCACCCATTGTTTCTTTCTAGTCATAGAGAGAGATGAAGATTCCTGAGGAGCCTTTAAATCATCTGTACTGCTGAATATTGTGTTTAGTCAATCATATTTATTTATTCATTCGTTTGTTCATTCATTCCAATCACACCATCTAGTAGACTTGTCACTACTCTGGGCCGTTTCCAGCAATATGGTAAACGTAAATAAAATAGTCAAATCCTACCCAGTTCAGAAATGCAATAAAAATATAATATAAACCTCTGGTTCCTAAGGTTATCACTTTTTCCAGTTCTGAGATCTTGTAACCTATGCATTAAAATACAAGGTTGGACTGTCAGCAAATGCTTACACTTAACATTCCCTGTAAATTTCTGCAACCCAAACCAAATGGATGGCAATATTGGATGTGGTGAGCAGCATTGATGCAGCAGTGCATGGCCACATAGTTTAGAGGAAACATTGCTTACATTGTTTCCATGAGTAGTTCCATTGAACCTAGTATTAGACCTAAGTGCTCTAGGAGAACTGGTATGAATTGGAACATGCCTTCTGCAGAAGGGATATGAAAACTAATGTAGTTAAGAAATCAGACTTCCATTAACAGCTTCCATTAATGTTTGTTATCAAATGTTCTTCTTCAAACATTACATTTTGTGAGCCCTTTTCAGCTTTAAAAAATGTATCATCAAGCGTAATGTTAATCAATTATATCCAAGGTTCCCTCTAATCTGCGCCCGTGCACGAATCCACCTCGCTCCATGCAACTTTTTTCTTCCTCTGCGCAGCAGTAGTAATCAAACCCCTTTGGCTCTAGTTGAGACAGAACCCTGCATGTGGGGACAGAGTCATGCGTGCTTACAGGATGGAGTTGCGCATGCGACAGGTGGAGACCTGCCTAGCAAGGCAGAAAATTAGAGGGTACATTGATTCTGACACTTTATTTTCTGGGTCTGAAGCAGATAATACAGTACTATGCAAGATAGACCTGCTATGAGACAGCTTGTTGTGTTGCTAACAACTACTAAAACTATACTTCCCCCCCCCTCTTGTTCTAGTGTTGCCACCAGTCCTGGTTCCAAGGCATAGTGAATTCAACCCACACCTCAGTCTCCTTGCCAAATTCCGGAACACGTCCCTTCACAGTGAACCGCTGATGCCTCACAATGCTACTTACCCCGAGTCTTTCCAGCAGCCTCCCTGCACCCCTTTCCCCACATCACCCAATATGTATTCCCAGTCATCTAGCAGTCTGAGCTACCCTGACTCCCCAGGAAGTTCTGCACCAGGAAGTCCCTATCAGCTCACAGGTAAGAAATAACCTCTCTAACCTGAACGTTGTTCCAGTGTGTCATTAAAATGGGTGCACTTCAGAAGCCTGGTGGCCACACTTTCCCCCTGCGCCCCAGAAAGCTACACTCCTGACACACCCAGTTTTTTTCTCCCCCTCAAAAGGATGTTGTATTCTATAGTGTAAAGGGGAGGGGGGGCTGGCACTTTTTCAACCCGCCCTATCTCATTTTAGTGGGGCGGGGGCTGTTTTCCAAAACTATAAGTGGCTGGAAGTCACAAAAAAAGCACAAAGGGGCTTTTTAGACAAAAATGAAGGTGGTTAGGGGTAATTCTGTGTTCCACACTTTTCCTATCACGGTTTTATAGTGATTTTCTCTGTACAGAGTACAGAATTCTGCACCAATGACTGAAACCCAGTGATAAGCTGCAACTAGAGCAGGCCCACTGAACCAACCTGAGCTCCTCTGTAAGTTCCATTGATTCAATGGGCCTACTCTACTTGCGATTTCTTCCTGGATTTCGGCCAATAAATTAGTAAAATTAACCATGATTCAGCAGCAAAAACAAAACAAAGGCAATAGCTGGTTGCCTCGACGGAAGTGTTTTGTCCACATCAAGGGAAGTAATAGTACTTCTGTAGTCTACTTTGGCCAAACCTCACCTAGAATAGAGTGTCTAATTCTGGACCTTACAGTTTAAGAAAAATACTGACAAACTGGAACGTGTCCGGCTGAGGGTAACATGTATGGCAAAAGAGTTGGAAACCATGCCCTTTGAAGAATGTTTGAGGCAGCTGGACATGTTTAGCCTGGAAAGGAAAAGGCAAGGTGATATGATAGCCATCTTTAGATGTTTGAAGGGCTATGACATAGTAGGTAGAGCAAGTTTGTTGACTGCTGTAGATGGGATTAATTGGTTTTCAATGCATTGTAGGTCAATGGAGATTCGACCTACAGACTTTTCTACTTGCAGCCACTGTTCCAATACGGATTAATTCCGTAAGTAGAGGGTCCACTGTAGAGCAAGTTTGTTGACTGCTGTAATGGATTCATACTACAAGAAAGGAGGTTTCAAATAAACATTAGGAAGAACTTCCTGAGAGTAAGTACTACATGATAATGAAATGAACTACACCAGGAGGTAGTGGACTGTCCTTCATTGGAGGGTTTTAAACAGAAGTAGGATGGCCATCTATCAGGAATGCTTCAGCTCTGGATGTCCTTTTTTGATAGGAGTTTAGACTCATTCCAAAGCTACCTTTCCATGATTCTGTGGTTGTTTGTGCTATTAAAAATAGTACATATACTTTTGACATTGACAATTTGTATTACTGTGATAATCCATGAAAGCTTGTGCATTTGAAGTTATGGGGATCAAAGGCAACCTGGGAAACATTGCTACAGTAGTGCTCTTCAATAACAAGAGAAAGAATCTCCATACATGTGGGTTTGTTGTCATTTGTAAGCTTCTAATCAGTGTAATGTCAGTGGATGTTGTGACCTGAGTGTCTTAGATATCCTCCTGCTCTAGTGAAAAAATAGAAGAATTACAAGAAAGAGAAAACCCTTCTACAAATCTGTAAACAAGGGTAGGCAGTACTTTTATTCAACTAAAATCTCAAGAACCGATGAGATTTTTAAGTCTTCCAGAATTTTTCATCAGGCTGGACATTATAGAGGCTCTGTACCACCCCTACCCTTATGGTTTTGTAATGCCTAGGCTAATGAGGACTCCCAGGGACTCAAAAGTTAATGCCTGTTTGTGGGATTTTAGTGGTCTGATAGGGGTGTCACCCCACCCTTGTTTTCAGACAGAAGAATTACTTCCCTAGGCTAAGCCAAAGATCTATCCTATTCCAACAGTCTTGTTTCAACAATAGCCAGACACATGCAGCTCCAAAATGCTAAACTTCTAAACTAGCATGTTCCCTGTGTTGTTTCTCTTTAAAAGTATTGACTGCATAGCATGACTGGCTTAACAGCTATAAAAGCAATTTCTGATAGGCAAGTAAGTCTTGTTTTATGTCTTGTTGAGGTGAAGCTGAGTTACAGGCATAGAACCTGTGTGCATTCTTCATATGCAGAGAGTCTTTGGAAACTCTACTGCATACTTCACTGTGAAAATACTACACTTATACTGTGTTCTTTCTTGTTCTTTAAGAAATCAGCAAACAGTATATTCATATATAACTGTGTGCTAAACGTTTTTTGTGACAGTCTTGTGAGAGAAAGCTTTTTGTCTTCTGGGTTGCCCTTGCCTATACAGTATAGTTGTTGACTCTCCTAGAATTCTGAAAGGTTAGATTGGGACCTCCTTCCAGCCTCAGCTAGGCCTGTTGTTGTGTAACCCTAGTGTTACCTATATAGGTGGAGGATGAACTGGCTAACTCTGTCCCACTGCCGTTTGTCAAGGGTGACTTTCCAAATAGGGAAGCCTCTTGTCTGTCTTATCCATGGAGTAAAAGAGTAGAAAGAGGGCCAAATATTCATTTTAGTGTAGAACATCTAAATATAGTTAAATGTATTTACAAACTCCAGCAGTAATAATGCTTCCTTTCCATTTACCTGAGAAAAACATTAGCCTGGGAGATCTGTATTATTCCAGATTACCCAGGTCATTTTGTTTTTGTTTTTAAAATTGGTATTACATGATAGCTAACCTCGATTCCTCTGATAAGAACAATTATTTAGTGATGCAAGGATGAATGTAAACCCCATAGCCTTTTAAACCAGCAATGGTTAGTTCAGAAAACTACTGTGTTGCCTTTGTATGATCATGGTATATTTACCTCATTTTTTTGGTCTGAGAGGCATCTCTGTTAACAGGAACATTGGTATGGGTGGATTGATGATATGTTGCGTTAGTTGAAATAGAAACTATGAAATGCCAAAATCAGTAGCTTTTCCCCTTCTTCTTTCCTCTAGTTGAAACGCCACCTCCACCTTACAATGCAAGAGAAACAACAGGAAACCACGATGGACACCCTGTACACACAATTGCAGACACTCAGTTAGTGCTGTCGTTGCCCAATGGAGGTAAATCTGCCGATGAAGAACCTGAACGTATGTAAATACTTGAGTTGTATTATTTTACATGGGAAAGATTTGGGCAGTGTCTGTCTGACAGTTCTCTGTCAGAAATATCTCAAATCTATAACCTTCATTAAAACTGAATCTTTACAAAAGTGCTTCCAGGGGACGTCTTCGTATTACTTACTCCAGAATGTCCTTGGATTAGTTCTACTGGTACGACTAAAATAATGGTAGGTTTCCTATTGCCCAAGTTGTTTGAAGACCTTGCTGTATCCTCAGCTTAGAACGCAGATCAAGTATATTTGTTTATTGCATTTATATTCCCCTCTTTCATCCAGTGAGCTGGAGATGGTATATATGAGTTATCTTTTCCCAAATTTATCTTCGCCACACTCACATTGAAAGTATACTATTTCCACCTTCTCTTTATTTTTACCTGGTTAGATACTGTGCTTTCTAATTGGTCATTCAGCATTCTTAACCTAAACGTATATTTCCCTTAGATTTCTTTGATCTTATGAAAGAGATCCCTTGCTTTTTTCTCTTTGTTGTTTTGTGTTTCCTCACACTGGATATTGTAATATTTCTCTTTGTCTTGACAGTTGCTAAAAATTGCATTCAGCGTTCTGACCATTTTTCTGTCACATTTTATTTTTGCTTCTCACCTGTCCTTGACGATTTTAAGTGTTCTATCATCCATCTAAAGTTTTCTTTTATTTTTATTACAGGTGTTGCTTTTTCACATTCTTCTCTAATTATATCTATGGTTTCAGTCCACACTTCTCCTAGTTCAGACTGAGCTTTTGTTGACCAAAATTCATTTCTTCTGTTAGTCCTTATTTCAGCTCTTGCAGCCACATCAATAGGGCACGTATTGCCAAGCTTCATCTTTTTTGCAGTCTTATGGGGCAAGACCTAAAATGTAATTTCAGTCTTCCTGCTCCCGTGGGCTTCCGTGCATCATCTTACATGTGTAGTAGTGACTGGAATGTTGGCCATGGGACTTTGGAGATTTGCTAAGCCATGAAACCCTTGCTAAGAGGTCTTGGGCCAGTCACCCTTTTTCAGCCTGACCCATAGATTCATGAAAGCTCTTCTTGAAATAATTTTGTTAGGCTTTAAAGTGCCACAATATTTTTGCCTTCCCACCCTGCCCTCACCTCTCCCGTGGCCTTTGTAATTTTACCAAGATGCTCAGACAGACTGACATGGATATTTCTTTGGAAAAGTCTCAGAACAGCTGAACTGAAATCAGCCCAACAAAGTGACCTGTGACCGTCAGTATTGCAAACACTTAAATCTTGCATTTTGAGAGGGAGAGCATTTGCTGCTTGACCTTTCCATAGCGAGTTCCTTCCATTTCCATTCCCCTGCCCAAACTAAAAAACTTCGGAGCAACTCCTCTCTTTTGTGATGCTCTTGATCCTGATTATGGCTTAATGTCTTATTTACGTTTATACCTTAAAGCAGTGGTTCACAACCTTAGGTAACCCAAGTTTTTTTGGACTGTAATTCCCAGAAACCCCAGCCAGCTGATGGCAAAAGCTTCTGGGAATTGCAGTTCAAGAACACCTAGATTGGACAAGGTTTGGAACCACTGCCTTACAGAGATAACATACAAATAAATTATTTAGTTGACTTTTTCTGTGTCTACTCCTTGAATCTTTGACATTGTTTTTGAGATACAGTGAGCAGAATTGTTAGTAACATTATATATAAGTAAGAGATACAGAAGTTTACTTCCTCATTTTAGCATGTTGTCGTACCTTAAAAAGGAGTGTGGGAGTATATGGCCTCTCCAAAATCCTACAACAGAAAGTGAATGCACCATGTTTATGCATAGATAATTAGGTTTTCACTATCTCTTGTAATGCACTGTGATTCTTCAGTAACTTTGTTTTTCTGTCTACCAATTTTCCAAGAACTACTAAAGTTGTGAATACCCTTTTCAGTGCCTCAGCTCAGCAAGCTGAAGTTTTCAGTGGATTCAGTGTTTTCAACATACAGTTGGAATGGTATAAAGACTGCTTTGTTTGTAGTTTAGGATTGGTCAATTTGATTTAATGCTTGATACTTGCTTGTACATCTGTGTACTGCCAGAGTTACCACCATTTAACAAGAGCAATAATGCTAGAATAGTTGACAGTTAGAAAATGAAAATAATATGTTAAATATATGTCCAGAAAGATCAGACCCACTTCATGGCAGAGAATGCAAACTTAAGGTAGAGTTGGTCAACTGGTAGCAACTCGGTGGCTGCAGAAAATCTCATGTTGTGGTGTCTGGACTCACAAGGTGGAGATTGTAATTATGCACATATGGATACATTTGGCAGAACTGCTTCTGTAGAGCTACCATAGTTTTCTCTCTCTAAGACATGCTTCCCCCCCCCAAAAATGGGGGGGGGAAGTGTGTGCATTTTATGGAGCGAAGCTGGTGATATCGCCCCCACTGGCCCCATGCAGGGGTGGGGGTGGGGAGGAGCCTCCCAAGGGTCCGAGTCTGCCTTCCAGGACCCTTGGGAGGCTCTGCCCACTCCCCCATGGGGCCAGCGGGGGCTAAATCACCACCTTCTCAGACTCTTTTGAGGCTTGGGAAGCTTCAGAAGAGTCCCTGAAGGTGGTGATTTCACCCCCTCTGGCCCCGCGGGGGGGGGGAGGGTGAGCCTCCCAAGGGTCCTAGGGTGTGTTCCATAAGACGGACCTCTCCATAAGGCTAACCAAATTTTTAGGAGAAGAAAACAGGAAAAAATAGTTGTTGTGGGTTTTTCGGGCTCTTTGGCCGTGTTCTGAAGGTTGTTCTTCCTAACGTTTCGCCAGTCTCTGTGGCTGGCATCTTCAGAGGACAGCACTCCAGGACCTGAAAGGCACTCTCGGACCCTTTGGAGGCTTCCCCCACCCTTACCCCCACTGGCCCAGCAGGGTGAAATTCCCAGGTTATTTTTTTCCTGTTTTCTTCTCCTAAAAATTTGGTGAGCCTTATGGAGTGAAAAATATGGTAATTCTATATAGCCATATAGAAATCTGGTTAATCCCTGAAACACATGACATTCCTACATAGTTAACATGCACTAGATCAGGAATAGGAAAAATGTGCCCTGTGGACTACATGCAGCCTCCAGGGTCATTTTTGCATTTGCTGTGGCCAACCAAAAGCCCACCAAGTTTGTACACTTCTTAAAAACTATATTTTTCGGCCAGTAAAGGCTTACATTGCTCCCTCCATTCCCTAATTGTTAAGCTATATAAGCCCTATTTGGGCTTATTACCTTGTGCGCAGTTGACAGATAAGAAAGGGGTCTGGTAGCCTTACCACCATGTCCCTGCTTTGGTTGCCTTGTGTGCATGGAGATTCATGAGTGTGAAGGAAGAGTCTCTTGTACAAGAAGTTCTAGTTCCAGTGTTCTAGTTCACCTGGAGAGTAACCTTCTTCTTTCCCTCCCAAGAAAGTAGCAGGTTCTCTTCTCCATATTCATCCCTCTCCATGCTTAGAAGGCAGTGGAAGTCATGAGAAAATTTAGAAGCCAGCCTGTTCCCCCTTCCTTGTGTGTTTTGCTTTAAAGGTTTAGAGAATATCTAAGATGTCTTGACAATATTTTGACAATCTTTTGAAATACTAGACAGCATGGGAGGAGTTGGAAAACATAATAGAGTCTTTATGGAGTTGATCATAGAAGCATTCTCCCGGCAACTTATGTGTCTGGTTATTTTTGTTGGAATGAAGAAGCAGCAATTGTGTTCTTATTTTCATTACCCTTTGCATTCTTTTTCACCTTGGGATTGTCTCGTTTCAGACTTCCGACCAGTTTGCTATGAGGAACCACAGCACTGGTGCTCGGTAGCTTACTATGAACTCAATAATCGAGTAGGAGAAACTTTTCAGGCCTCTTCTCGAAGTATTCTTATCGATGGCTTTACAGATCCTTCAAACAATAAGAACAGGTTTTGCCTTGGATTGCTGTCTAATGTAAATAGGAACTCTACCATCGAAAACACCAGGAGACATATAGGAAAGGGTAAGTGCAAGTAGAACTTATTGCAAATGACATGAAGTACTGCTGGGAAGCATTTTACGATCTGGAAATGTAAACATTTAAAACCTGTTTAACTCATATGCCCTTTAAAAAGAAATGTCTGCATTGGAATGTATAGTCTATTACCATCATACATTTATTTTAAAAAAAAGAACACAAGGATAAAACAAGCAAATATTTTACTTATACAGAAAAGGCCTGATTTATATAGGACATGAGTGGATAGGAAATCACCTTCTCTTCCATTCCCATTGAGCATAACTTAAAGTTTATAGTGATAAATTTGTTACTTTCATCAATAGATGTTCAGCCTTGGATATGTACATAGATTTAAAGGGTTCCCCAGTGTGTGTGTGTGTGTGTTTGTTTGTTTGTTTATTGGATTTTTATCCCACCCACCTAGACCAAAGAGAACCTTGCCATCCTGGAGAGGCCCATTCATTATTGCCATAGCCCATTCAGATGTTATAGACCTGACTGCTTTGATTAGCAGGGATGAGGTGGTGGCATGATAGCAGTCAAGCACCCTGTCCCCCATGTCTGACATCACAGGCTGAAAATGGTTAAGTCTCTCCAAGGCTGGATGTCTCTGCTCGATCCACTGTTTTCAAATAGGGGGTAAGATCCTGGCGGATGGCCTCCACTTTTGATTTTTAAAAGGCTGCAAATTGGTCAGGTGAGATGCTAGTGGGAGGCCAATCACTATGACCAACAGCAGATAGATTGCGGACTATACAGAAAAGTTCTGCCTGTTGGTTAGAGGCTTTGCTTATCTGGACAGCGAAGTAAGATCGACTACCAGCCTTCACCATAGATTGGTAGAGGTTAGTTGTGATCCTGACAGCTATTTTATTATTTTCCATCAGGTTCCGCCTCCATATACATTCTAGCCTTCTCCTATTTTGCTTCATTGATTGCAGCTCTGAATTAAACCAGGGCGAAGGACAATCTCTGCACCAGAGAGGGCGTTTAGGTGCAATCATAACATTGTGTAGCAAACATACACAGGCTAAGTTTGCTGTGTGGCTTGTGTAAATAAGGCATAACTTTGCAAGTGGCTTGTCTGTGGCCTGCTGGGATGTCTGAAAACTAATCTCATTTTCATCCAATTTGTAGTGATGCTACTACATAAGTGAAAAAAAGAGGAGCCTCTTAATAACAAAAGGATTATATGTAAGGAAGGGATGAAAAAGTGGAAACAGGAGTGAAATTAGCACAGGAGCCAGGTGCTGATTTAAGAAACTGGGATTTCAGATATACCATTTCTGACAAAGGTTGTGTTGTGCACAGAGGTGTGGGTTCTCTGTTAGAATCAATAAACAGCAAGGCCACTGGATCACTTTGTACTAAGAAGCTAAGGAACTTTGGCAGAATGGTTGGGTAGAATGCCCACAACTAAAACTGACTCTCAAGCACAGATTATAGGATTGTGCTTTTGGGATAGTAAATCCATAAGAACTATGAAATGACCCACAGGAACAGACCTTTCTGTTTCAGTATTCTGTTTTTACAGTGAATAAGAGCCACGTGCTCTGTGAATCCTACAGGCAAGACAAGGCAACCTGCCATTCACATTCTTAAGCAACTTGTACTGAAGTTGATACATGGGCAACATAACCTTTGATAGCCCTTTTTTCTGTGAAAACTTTCTTGCAGCACCATTTCTGTGTGTTACATACATAATGTAGCACACTGTTGGTGTGTAATGATATATATATCATGAGTGTTTTATGTTATTTTAAAGTGGTAAAACTTGCTTGAATCTGTGCTGAATGCTGCAGATGTTTACCTTTGAGATTCTATCTTTCTTTTTTTAAAAAAGGTGTTCACTTGTATTATGTTGGAGGAGAGGTATACGCAGAGTGTGTGAGTGACAGCAGCATTTTTGTACAGAGCCGCAACTGTAACTATCAGCACGGTTTCCACCCAGCTACGGTCTGCAAGATTCCCAGTGGCTGCAGCTTGAAGATTTTCAACAACCAGCTCTTTGCTCAGTTGCTTGCCCAGTCAGTAAACCATGGATTTGAGGTGGTATATGAGCTAACCAAGATGTGTACCATCCGGATGAGCTTTGTTAAAGTAAGGACTTGTTTTCTTTCCTTGTTCTTCCCATTTACACTGACAGTTGTGGGAGCATTGTCTGATTGTGGTTGACTAAAATAAGTTATTTAACTAATACAGTGTAACCCCCCATATCCTACTGCGGGTTGGTTCCAGTCCCCCCATGAATACTGAAAACATGGATAATAGAGAAATCTGTCTGTCTATCTACAGTATCTATCTACCTACCTACCTACCTGCCTGCCTGCCTGCCTGCCTACATATCTACCTACCTATCATAGTAAAAGGAGAAAAAGAAAAACCATTTTCACATGCATTACCAGAATTGCACAGTAGAGGGTGTGAGAGACCATGCCATTTATTTTTCACTAACAAGTACAGTGATGCCTCAACCTACGAACGTCCTGACATACAACCATTTCGAGTTACGACCAGCTCCGGCCGCAAAATCTAGCTTCAACTTGCGGCCAAGTTACAAACACAAAAAGGCAGGAAATTCAAATTGCTAACTGTTCATGGTGAAGAGGCTGCTTCTTTGTAGCTCTTTAGAGGGTGTGCGATCGGAGGAGGCTTCCTGGTAAGGGAAAGTGGTGCTTTCTGCTTTTTAAAAACGGTTCTGGGTGTTTTTGCAGCCTGATTTTGGGCTGGGGGGTTTATGTTTCTGTGCTGTGATGGGTCTTGGGGATTTGTTTGTTGGTTGGTTCCCCCCAATTTTCGATGGGTCTTGGGGGTTTGGTTGCTTTTCCCCCCATTTCTGATGGGTCTTGGGGGGTTGTTTGTTTTGGGATTTCCCCCCCATTTCCGATGGGTCTTGGGGGGTTTGGTTGCTTTTTGGGGGGTTTCCCCATTTCTGATGGGTGTTGCATGCTTCCCTTTCTTTTTGCTTTGTTGTCTTTGCATTTCCAATGTGCTTTGTTTTCTTTGCATTTCTGATGTGCTCAGTTTCCTTCTTTGCATTTCCAATGTACTGCACTCCATTTGCTTTTTCCTTTGTTTTCTTTGCATTTCCGATGTGCTTCGTTTGCTTTTTGCTTTGTTTCCTTTGCATTTCCAATGTGCTCTGTTTGCTTTCTTTGCATTTCTGATGTGCTCTGTTTGCTTTTTCCTTTGCTTTCCTTGCATTTCCGATGGGTCTTGCACGCTTGATGCTTTTCTTCCCCCCCTTCAGCTGGAAGGGATTAATCGCATTTCCAATGGGTCTTGCAGTGATTTTTTGTTGTTATTTTTTTCCTTCGGCTAGAATGGATTAATTACATTTGAATGCATTTCAATGGGAAATGGTGCTTTGATTACGACCATTTTGAGTTACGTCCAGCATTCCAGAACCAATTTGGTTCGTAAGTCGAGGCACAACTGTATTCATAGCAGAGTCTCCCTCTGTTGGCCAGTTCTGGTAATTGTCTTATGGTGCAAAAAATACGGTAATCTCATTTTCATCCAATTTATAGTGATGCTGCTTCATAAGTGAAAAAAAAAGAGGAGACTCTTAATAACAAAAGGATTATATGCAAGGAAGGGATGAAAAAGAGGAAACAGGAGTGAAATTAGCACAGGACCCAGGTGCTGATTTAGGAAACTGGAATTTCAGATATACCATTTCTGACAAAGGTTGTGTTGTGCACAGAGGTGTGGGTTCTCTGTTAGAATCAATAAACAGCAAGGCCACTGGATCACTTTGTACTAAGAAGCTAAGGAACTTTGGCAGAATGGTTGGGTAGAATGCCCACAACTAAAACTGACTCTCAAGCACAGATTATAGGATTGTGCTTTTGGGATAGTAAATCCATAAGAACTATGAAATGACCCACAGGAACAGACCTTTCTGTTTCAGTATTCTGTTTTTACAGTGAATAAGAGCCACGTGCTCTGTGAATCCTACAGGCAAGACAAGGCAACCTGCCATTCACATTCTTAAGCAACTTGTACTGAAGTTGATACATGGGCAACATAACCTTTGATAGCCCTTTTTTCTGTGAAAACTTTCTTGCAGCACCATTTCTGTGTGTTACATACATAATGTAGCACACTGTTGGTGTGTAATGATATATATCATGAGTGTTTTATGTTATTTTAAGGTGGTAAAACTTGCTTTAATCTGTGCTGAATGCTGCAGATGTTTACCTTTGAGATTCTATCTTTCTTTCTTTTTTTTTAAAAAAAAGGTGTTCACTTGTATTATGTTGGAGGAGAGGTATACGCAGAGTGTGTGAGTGACAGCAGCATTTTTGTACAGAGCCGCAACTGTAACTATCAGCACGGTTTCCACCCAGCTACGGTCTGCAAGATTCCCAGTGGCTGCAGCTTGAAGATTTTCAACAACCAGCTCTTTGCTCAGTTGCTTGCCCAGTCAGTAAACCATGGATTTGAGGTGGTATATGAGCTAACCAAGATGTGTACCATCCGGATGAGCTTTGTTAAAGTAAGGACTTGTTTTCTTTGCTTGTTCTTCCCAATTGCACTGACAGTTGTGGGAGCATTGTCTGATTGTGGTTGACTAAAATAAGTTATTTAAATAATACAGTGGGACCCCCCCATATCCTACTGCGGGTTGGTTCCAGTCCCCCCATGAATACTGAAAACATGGATAATAGAGAAATCTGTCTATCTATCTACCTACATACCTACCTGCCTGCCTGCCTGCCTGCCTACATATCTACCTACCTATCATAGTAAAAGGAGAAAAAGAAAAACCATTTTCACATGCATTATCAGAACTGCACAGTAGAGGGTGTGAGAGACCATGCCATTTATTTTTCACTAACAAGTACAGTGATGCCTCAACCTACGAACGTCCTGACATACAACCATTTCGAGTTACGACCAGCTCCGGCCGCAAAATCTAGCTTCAACTTGCGGCCAGAACTTCCAGTTACAAACACAAAAAGGCAGGAAATTCAAATTGCTAACTGTTC